AATAAATTATTGAGATATTAGCAAATTTATGATGCATGAATTTTTATTTAAGTTTGTGTAAAGGATTTACAGAAAGAATTTTTTTTTTTTTTTTTTTTTAATATTTTTTGCTATTTGATACTATATTAAATATATTTAATAAAATAATTAATTTTTGATTAATTTATTTTAAATAATTAAATTATATAAGTTTTAAATTTTTATTCTAGTGTATCAAATTACTTTTTATCAAAGGTGCTAAAATTTTAAATATACTAATAAGATAATATAAAATGCGTCTATGGTGTTTAATACTTATTATATATTTTATGAATTTTCAAAATTTATATACAAAATTTTTAATACAAATTGTTTAGATAAAATTTGTACTTATAATTAGGATTAGGGTTTGGGAAGGCGTAAAATATTTTTACTTGCGTGCATATGTGTCAAATACCATAGGTGCATTTTATAATGTCGATTATAATTATTTATTTTACTAATTTTAATTTAATAAAAATTTCTTTAATAAAAATTTTATTTTTTATTATAATAAATACCAGTTTTTTATTATTTGTTAATAACTTTAAATATATAAAACTTTGATATTTAAATGCTTTAAAAAAATTTTATCCGATAAATTTGAGAGCTAATAAAAATTTTTTATTAGTTAATTTTTTTAAAAATTTAAATTTATAGTTATTTTAAAATAAACTTAGTAAATTGAATAAGGTATACTATATATTTAATCAAATAATTTATAGTTAAAGCAGAGCTTAGTTTATATTAAATTTTGCAAAAATTTTTCAAGTTACAAAGAACCTTTTTTTTCAAAAAGTGTCTATATTGCACCTAATCCATTGATTTTATTGGTACCGATCATTCAAAGAGATCTAATTGGTGCATCTTTTACGATCCTCATGGGACGAATGGGCTAGCAGCAAATTTTGGTAAAACAAAATTTTTAGATACGACATATTGGGATAAGGTTAAGGTCTTGATGTTTGTAATAAGAATACCCCGCGATTTTGATATAGGGGTCGGGGAATTTTTATAGTTAAATTTCGCAGGAATCACTTTTTAATTAAATAGTTCGCAAAAACCGGTTCGAAATTTTATTGGGTATATTCATGTGATTTTCTGACGCTAATCTATTCTCATGGGCATTTTTAATAAATTTGAAATTACTCTATTTAAATTTTCTAAATAAAAAATATTCAGAACCAAATATATATAATCATGTGTAAAAGTTACTAATTATTGTTTTGGGATGCCTGGGTTTTTGGACGCTGGGTAGGCTATGGACATCAAAATGTACAACACTAGCCATAGTATTCAGACAACACAAATTTGATAAACTGAACATCACTGGTTTAATTTAATATTTTCGTTCTTATTTTAAAAATGTTTAACACGTCGATAATTAATACACAAAATTTAATTTTAGAGATACCAATCTTAAAACTTTGAAGCCTAATAAAGGGTTAATTGGTTGCATGATTTATATTAAAAGTTTTGTAATTCTAATATTTATATCGATTTGAAAAGAATGATCCAATTTACCGGGTATTTTACGCATTACGGTTGCTTATAGGTGCATTTTGCACAACGTTTACTATAACGTTAATTTTTAGGATTCATAAATTTAGTGTAACACCCGTAAATGACCCGCAACACTACGCACGATAGATTAACGAATGTAGCAATAAAGTGTGAAAATAGACTAAAAACTGGGTACAGATTGAGTAATTGTAATGTTACACACACCTGTATGGATCTGAATGAGGACCATAAAAATTCACTATTGATCACTAATCGTCAGTCAATGAAGACTTGCACTTTTAATCTTTTTGAGAATTATAAAGGTTTCTTGTACAGGTTAGTTTTTTTTTTTTTACTTTTTCTGAATTCGACATGATATTAAGATCATTTCATTTTTAAAAGCTAAACACAGAATTTTTTCTTGTTTTTTTGATCAAAATCTTTTAATTTATTTTTATTTATTTAATTTAATTTAAATTTTTTTTTTTCTTAACGACGTACCATCAATGTAATAAAAATATATCTGATCATTTCATTTCATTTCATCTATTTTCTTAATAACGTTTTTAGTCTATCAAAACGTCAGATAACATTGTCAAAATTCACATAATCGATCACCTTGGGTCTATCGTGTGCAGTAATCACCTTTAAAAAAAAACAAAAAAAAAATAACGATTAATTCTTTTGTCGACAATCCATTTTTGGATGTTGTAATGTTGGATGAGATACATCTATTCCATCGATATTAAGTAACGTAGCTTTCGTCTCTTTAGAGAAGAATAAAAAATATATACTGACTAATTTAGCTGAAGCTCTTAATGAAGTTACTTCAAATGGTTTTTTCCATAACATCAACGCAGCACTCTCGCACCAAAGTTTATTTACAAGGAGACAAGGATATAATGACTTTATATTATATTCTCCAACAATACTAAAGATCTCTACCAAAGTCTCCGGTGGCAGATAAGGTGCAGGTTGTGTTCTTTCCATGAATGAATTGTAATGTCTAAGATGTTATTCTTTAACTATACGTATATCGTGGCTGATGAAAGGTATTACAAAGGGTGAATGGATAGTCGACAAAAGAATTAATCGTTATTTTTTTTTTGTTTTTTTTTAAAGGTGATTACTGCACACGATAGACCCAAGGTGATCGATTATGTGAATTTTGACAATGTTATCTGACGTTTTGATAGACTAAAAACGTTATTAAGAAAATAGATGAAATGAAATGAAATGATCAGATATATTTTTATTACATTGATGGTACGTCGTTAAGAAAAAAAAAAATTTAAATTAAATTAAATAAATAAAAATAAATTAAAAGATTTTGATCAAAAAAACAAGAAAAAATTCTGTGTTTAGCTTTTAAAAATGAAATGATCTTAATATCATGTCGAATTCAGAAAAAGTAAAAAAAAAAAAACTAACCTGTACAAGAAACCTTTATAATTCTCAAAAAGATTAAAAGTGCAAGTCTTCATTGACTGACGATTAGTGATCAATAGTGAATTTTTATGGTCCTCATTCAGATCCATACAGGTGTGTGTAACATTACAATTACTCAATCTGTACCCAGTTTTTAGTCTATTTTCACACTTTATTGCTACATTCGTTAATCTATCGTGCGTAGTGTTGCGGGTCATTTACGGGTGTTACACTAAATTTATGAATCCTAAAAATTAACGTTATAGTAAACGTTGTGCAAAATGCACCTATAAGCAACCGTAATGCGTAAAATACCCGGTAAATTGGATCATTCTTTTCAAATCGATATAAATATTAGAATTACAAAACTTTTAATATAAATCATGCAACCAATTAACCCTTTATTAGGCTTCAAAGTTTTAAGATTGGTATCTCTAAAATTAAATTTTGTGTATTAATTATCGACGTGTTAAACATTTTTAAAATAAGAACGAAAATATTAAATTAAACCAGTGATGTTCAGTTTATCAAATTTGTGTTGTCTGAATACTATGGCTAGTGTTGTACATTTTGATGTCCATAGCCTACCCAGCGTCCAAAAACCCAGGCATCCCAAAACAATAATTAGTAACTTTTACACATGATTATATATATTTGGTTCTGAATATTTTTTATTTAGAAAATTTAAATAGAGTAATTTCAAATTTATTAAAAATGCCCATGAGAATAGATTAGCGTCAGAAAATCACATGAATATACCCAATAAAATTTCGAACCGGTTTTTGCGAACTATTTAATTAAAAAGTGATTCCTGCGAAATTTAACTATAAAAATTCCCCGACCCCTATATCAAAATCGCGGGGTATTCTTATTACAAACATCAAGACCTTAACCTTATCCCAATATGTCGTATCTAAAAATTTTGTTTTACCAAAATTTGCTGCTAGCCCATTCGTCCCATGAGGATCGTAAAAGATGCACCAATTAGATCTCTTTGAATGATCGGTACCAATAAAATCAATGGATTAGGTGCAATATAGACACTTTTTGAAAAAAAAGGTTCTTTGTAACTTGAAAAATTTTTGCAAAATTTAATATAAACTAAGCTCTGCTTTAACTATAAATTATTTGATTAAATATATAGTATACCTTATTCAATTTACTAAGTTTATTTTAAAATAACTATAAATTTAAATTTTTAAAAAAATTAACTAATAAAAAATTTTTATTAGCTCTCAAATTTATCGGATAAAATTTTTTTAAAGCATTTAAATATCAAAGTTTTATATATTTAAAGTTATTAACAAATAATAAAAAACTGGTATTTATTATAATAAAAAATAAAATTTTTATTAAAGAAATTTTTATTAAATTAAAATTAGTAAAATAAATAATTATAATCGACATTATAAAATGCACCTATGGTATTTGACACATATGCACGCAAGTAAAAATATTTTACGCCTTCCCAAACCCTAATCCTAATTATAAGTACAAATTTTATCTAAACAATTTGTATTAAAAATTTTGTATATAAATTTTGAAAATTCATAAAATATATAATAAGTATTAAACACCATAGACGCATTTTATATTATCTTATTAGTATATTTAAAATTTTAGCACCTTTGATAAAAAGTAATTTGATACACTAGAATAAAAATTTAAAACTTATATAATTTAATTATTTAAAATAAATTAATCAAAAATTAATTATTTTATTAAATATATTTAATATAGTATCAAATAGCAAAAAATATTAAAAAAAAAAAAAAAAAAAAATTCTTTCTGTAAATCCTTTACACAAACTTAAATAAAAATTCATGCATCATAAATTTGCTAATATCTCAATAATTTATT